CTTATTTTTAAACCTAGATGAACCACCCGTATAACCAAATTATAAGATAGATATCTAAATTTATGCAGATTGTACTTTTTGGGGCAATTCATTCTTATTTAGCCGAAAACTCATTGGGTTTTCATTACTTCAAATAGAAATGTATTCTGGTATTAATTAAGGTATGAAAATTGCCCAGAATATTGTTCTTCCAATGCCATTAAAATATTGGCTGCCTTAAAAAAACAATCATTTGGTGCATGTCTTTGTGCCAGAGTGGTAGCAAGCAATTATATCACAGTTGGAAGAGAGTTGGAGTTCAAGATTAGGAATTTTGGAAACTTGTCATTTTGTAATGAAAGATTTCCTTTTAAAGCTCATGGATACATATTTACATTTGGGCTTATGAAAGAGGGAAGTGGCATGTCACCATAGTGTATCTTGCTGTTAGTTCATGTCACCACTCAGTTCTGACCTTCATTTAGAACACTCCACTTTGACCCTCTGGCCATGCTTCTCCCTCCAGTCAAGGAGTCTGTGGGGCCCAGTCTGCAGCCCTCTCCTACACCCCAGAATTCCCTGCCAAATGGCACCCAGCTTCTACTCAGGGCCTGTGTGGGTGTCTTTTATGGTTTTATTCTGCTGAGAGCTACACTGGATGTCAAGAGGCTCAAACTTATACATGGCCTTCCAGGTTTTTACATAGGCATATTGTAAAAACACCTCTCAAATACTTAGATAGATGATATGTGGACCTTTGTTTCAGTTACCCTTAGCTGTGAAAAAATCACCCCAATGTCTAGAGCCCATTGAATGACACAAGAATACTTGGGGTGGAGCCCACCCCAATGAAACAAGAATGATTTAATACTTCTTGTGGTTGCGTGAGTGATAGGGCTCAGGCTCATTTGTGCAGCTGTTTCAGCTATAGGGCCACTTGGGCTGGAGTGTCCATGATAGCCTCAGTCACATGCCCAGCAGTTGGTGTTCGCTTGGCTCTTCTCCATATGGTCTCTTGTCCAGGAGACATCTTCAAAGGATGGTCTTAGGGCTCCATTTAGATGAGTTACCATGGAAGGGGCAAGGTCTCTTAAGGTCTAGCTTTGAAATTCACAAAAAGCCATTTCTGCCAATTCTGTTGGTCAAAGCAAGTGACAAGGTCAGTCCAGATTCAAGGCAAGGGAAATGGACCCTACTGTGAAGAATAGCAATGTCAGTTTGCAGAAGGACATGCGGGATGGAAAAAAGAGTCACACTTATTTTTGCCAACAATTTACCACATACTCCATTTGTATTCTTGACACACACGCCACAGATGTTAGGGACAATCCCATAATTCCAATCACAGTAATACCAGCCAACTTTTACCTACTCACTCTGAATGTGGTCCTTTCATATAGCGAAGTTGATTTAGAGAGCCATTTGAGAGGAAGTGTAGAAGCCAAGGCTTGGGAACTGGTTGATATGAAATTATTGTTCAGTTTGGAAAAGAACAGTACACAATGCTCAGTGCTTGTCATTAATCCTGCGATTTTTCTTTTTCAAATAGCTGCTGCCATCATGAGTAAAGTAAATCTGTCTGTGGATCCTTGTGATAATTTCTTCCGGTTTGCTTGTGATGGTTGGATAAACAATAATCCAATTCCCGAAGATATGCCAAGCTATGGGGTTTATCCTTGGCTGAGACATAATGTTGACCTCAAGTTGAAGGGTAAGTTTCTACTGCAGTTTGATGATGTACTTTACAGAGTACAATATTTGACAAGAAAAGTAGAGTTTGGGCTGGGTGTGGCCGTGTATGCTGTAAACCCAGCACTTGGGAGACTGAGGCTCAAGGATTGTGTGTTCAAGGCCAGCCTGGCTCCATAGTAAGACCCTATCTCAAAAAAAATCCCACAAACAAACAAACAAATGGAGGAAGGGAGAAAGGGGAGGGAGGGAAGAAAGAGAGAGAGAGAGAGAGAGAGAGAGAGAGGATGAAACATGCCTATTAACTTTTTAACTATACTAAATTCATTTCCAAGAATTGTTTTAATGGAAGATTGGGTTTGTGGAATTCCAGTTTCACAGATTTGTTTACCACAAGCCCAATATAGATTGTTAGGTTTGTGTTTGACGATGCAATATTTCTACTGCCAAAGGTTAAATAGAATTTGATTGAGATTGGGAGCAAAGGAATAGTTAATCACAATTATGTTATATCAATAATATCAATATACTTACTTGTCTACTGTGTTCAAGGTAAACCTGATTTCTTGCTTATTGTGTCCTGGATTTTCATGGCTTACAAAATGTACATAACACCTCATTGTCTTTTGACATCACTTTTGAGAACTCTGGATGACCCTTGGTTGTCATATTGTTCTGTTAAGTTCTAAGATAGCTCTAGGGAGCCTCACTTTTCTCCCATGGCCTCTCTAGCAATGACAAGCTCTCTCACACACACTCACATGTGTGAACAAACACACATATTCACGTGTGTTTGTACTCCCCACAAAAAGTTGGAAATGTCAAATACTGGAGAATACTATGCTTTCTTTGGATCTAATTTTATGCTTTGCTGTTGGAGAACACTACCTCACGGGGGAAAGAAGGAAGATTGCAAAGCCAGATAAAGTAATTGTTTTGAGAAGGAAAAAATAGTGTGTGTTTTTTCTCTTTGACAACTTGAGTTATGCCATGGAACTTGCATTCAGTAACACTTACTAAGAATTTCTGAGAAGTGACAAGAACTGTAGTATTTCTTCCTTCCCTAACTTCATTTTTCCAAGATTTTAAGTGCATGGAAATTAAGTATGTATCAATTTATATATCCTTCTGAACATGTGAATCACTGGTAAAATAGATAATTATGGTCAATTGTAAGGAAAATATAATTAAATTTGAGAGCTAGATATAAATCATATAGACTTATAGTTTTTATTAGGAAGCTCAAATTTAGTCTTGGTTAATTATGAATGAGAATTTTCGAGAATGTCAGGGTTTTCCTCTAACTTAACAGATGAGATTCCCGCACTGTAGAATCATAAATAAGAGTGAGTTCATAGACTAATACTTATTTCCCTGTGGGACATTAATTGATTCAGACCTTTCATCTACCATTCTTGTCCATTTTCTACTTGCCTTCCCTAGCTTTTCTTCCTTGATAGAAACATAGCATACATGCACACATATGCACACACATGCACACAGGAATATCATCAAAGGGTAAGAAAAATGCAAGATATACAGATACATGTTGCTTTTACATTAGTTATAGCCAAAAGATTTATATCATCATGCCATAAAGTAGTTGTCATAATTTAAAGAACTTTCTGGGGCCGATTGTAAAATTAAAATCACCATTGATGTGCTTTGCTTGAGGAGGGTAGTGTATAGGCTCCTGCAAGATTAACAGGATTAAATGAGAGTAAATTGTTCAGTGCAACATAGGGGATTTATGATGACTGGCTTTCTTTTAGAAATGAAAAAGTATATTTTCAAGCTCAGTTGAGAAAAGAATAAAGAAAAAACAGTGAAAAAAAGTTGCCTATAAATCTACCTCTAGAAATAATTGCTAAAAAAAATCCAACAGGTTAAATATCTTTTGAGGTTTTGTTCCATGTTCATATTCATAATCTCATATGCACACCCATATATTTTAGTGTATTTTTTAACTTTATTTATTTATTTATTTATTTAAATTGTTTTATTATTCATATGTGCATACAAGGCTTGGGTCATTTCTCCCCCCTTCCTCCCCACCCCCTCCCTTACCACCCACTCCGCCCCCTCCCTCTCCTCCCCACCCCCTCAATACCCAGCAGAAACTATTTTGCCCTTATCTTTAATTTTGTTGAAGAGAGAGTATAAGCAATAACAGGAAGGAAGAAGGGTTTTTGCTGGTTGAGATAAGGATAGCTATATAGGGGCATTGACTCACATTGATTTCCTGTGCGTGGGTATTACCTTCTAGGTTAATTCTTTTTGATCTAACCTTTTCTCTAGTTCCTGGTCCCCTTTTCCTATTGGCCTCAGTTGCTTTTAAGGTATCTGCTTTAGTTTCTCTGCGTTAAGGGCAACAAATGCTAGCTAATTTTTTAGGTGTCTTACCTATCCTCACCCCTCCCTTGTGTGCGCTCGCTTTTATCATGTGCTCATAGTCCAATCCCCTTGTTGTGTTTGCCCTTGATCTAATGTCCACATATGAGGGAGAACATACGATTTTTGGTCTTTTGGGCCAGGCTAACCTCACTCAGAATGATGTTCTCCAATTCCATCCATTTACCAGCGAATGATAACATTTCGTTCTTCTTCATGGCTGCATAAAATTCCATTGTGTATAGATACCACATTTTCTTAATCCATTCGTCAGTGGTGGGGCATCGTGGCTGTTTCCGTAACTTGGCTATTGTGAATAGTGCTGCAATAAACACCCAAATATTTTAAAAATTAGCTGGTATCATGCATATGTAACCTGTTTTTTAAAACTAGGCATGCGTAATGTCTTTTTTTTTTCTGGCAGCACAGGAGTTTGAACTCAGGGCCTGACACTTGCTAGGCAGGCACTCTTAGGGCTTTAACAGACTCCACCAACCCTTTTTGTGATGAGTATTTTCGATATAGAGTCTATGGAACTATTTGCTCAGGGTTGGCTTTCAACTGCGATCCTCCTGATCTCTGCGTCCTGAGTAGCTAAGATTACAGGCATAAGACACTGGTGCCAGCTTAGATAGCTTTTCTTTTAAAGAACACTCTGGTAAATATCCTTGTATACATATCTTTATGTCCTTATCTAAATGTATTTGTGGTGTATATTCCTAGAAATGAAACTATAGGATTGAAGAAATATTAACTTTTTGATGCAGATAGTCAAATTGCCCTTTAGAAAAAGTTTATTTCTGGGTCATTATATTTTCCTGCCATCTTAAATAATTTATCCCCATCAACTGTTTTTGTGTGTGTCTGATGTAGAGGTCAGCTAACTATGGCCAGTGGGCCAAATCCAATCCATGGCCTGTTTTTGTCAATAAAGTTTTATTAGAACACAGCCTCATCCATTCATTTATGCATAACCCATGGCTGCTTTTTGTCAAATTAATACCTATGCTGTCATTTAAGTTATTTCCAATTTTTCCTCTTTGTAAGTCATTGAGGGCATGAGGTTTGAAGCTGTGAGAGCTGGATTTGAATCCAGGTTCCCTTTTACTTATCCCCTGTGTCACTTCAGGCCAATTAGTGATCCATTTTTGCTTAGTTTTCTGATCTTTAGTTTTTTTTTTTTTCTTTTTTTTTTTTTGGTGGTACTGGGGTTTGAACTCATGCTTGCTAAGCAGGTGTTCTGCTGCTTGAGCCACTCCATCAGCCCCAGTTTTCTCATCTTTAAAATGGAGATTGAAATACCCACAACATAGGTTTTTTTTTTGTTGTTTCAATAATTAAACTTTTATTTTGGCTTTTATATAGATAAGAGTTTGAGACCCCATAATCTTTTCTTTCTTTTTTTAAAAATTTCTTTTATTCATATGTGCATACAATGTTTGGGTCATTTCTCCCCTCTTCCCCCCACCCCCTTTCTTTCCCCCGCCCCCTCCCTCTCCCCCCCTTGCTACCAGGCAGAAACTATTTTGCCCTTATCTCTAATTTTGTTGAAGAGAGAGTATATGCAATAATAGGAAGGACAAGGGTTTTTGCTAGTTGAGATAAGGATAGCTATACAGGGAGTTGACTCGCATTGCTTTTCTGTACATATGTGTTACATTCTAAATTAATTCTTCTCGAACTAATCTTTTCTCTAACAACATAGGTTTTTGAGGGAGATGACCTATATAAATTTCCCAGTCCAGTGCTCTTAGTAAATATTATCCTTTGCTTCTCTGTTTTGTTTCAAAGATAGTTCTAAGATTCATGAAATAGTGTCTATCAAGTGCTTTAAGTTTCATTCTGGTCTGATCCTTTGTAAATATCATGTGCTTTCAAAAATATTGAATAGTGTCAAGATTCTTCTCCTCGCCTTTGATAAAAAGAGAGAACATCCAAAAATAAAACCCAATATTACCAACCAAAAGAATACATTTTCTTATGGCTGATAGAGAACACACAGATTCGGCTATCCAATTTGTGAAGTAAAATGGATTTGACAGACCAGGCTGATGAAAAATTGCCCTCTATTGAAGTCAGCAACCTGGCTTTGTGAATTTTTCCTTTAAATGGCATATATGACTCAGATTTCAACTTAGAAAATAAATTTATTTCTTGTCCTCTCCAAGAAGCAAGATATTTTTTTGGAAGAAAAGGCTAAATGTAGTCATGTGTTTGTCTTAAAATTTCCACCCCCCACCCAATTTGTCTTCATGTGACTGTAAAGCCAGCACAGCACACTTTGCTTATGAATGAGCAGATGGAAGTTGAGCAAATGAGCTCTTCTGAAACATGAGGCAATGAATGAGATAGAACACTTGTGTCACACAGAAGACGGATTACTCAAGGTAGGGCCAGATCATCCTTATTATGGGATAGCTATCTTGGCCAATATTTTGAGAAGAAACACAGTATATTATTCTGCAACATAGCCTTAGCAGAACAACAAGATAAAGTAGGGACTATGTGTTCATGTGCAGATAAAGATGGTTGTGAGTCTACACCAGTTATTTGTTAATACCTACTAGCTGAAATTCAAATGGTGCTCATCATTCAATACCTCTTCCCATTCCCTTATCATCTTGGGTTTTT